GGCTCTGTCACCTCCCTCAGCATCTGTCCCCGGCCACTGCTCGTTCTTGTCACAGGAGTTTGAGCACAGTGCTGTACTAGGACTCCTGTGTTGGAGGTGACAGGGTCAATAAAGAGTACCTGCCACCTCCAAATGCTATCACGTAGCGGTTTGTTATCTCCTGTGTGATAGCAATAAAGTTAAGTGAAAAAAATAGTTAAAAAAGAACTAAATAAAAATGTTAAATTTAAAAAAGGTGATAAAGTAAAAATAATAAAATAAACGAAAATAAAAATGTAACAAAAGTAAATAAAAATTGAAAAAAATTATGCTGCCCCCATCATCTCTGCAAGCGAATAAACGCGCAGTGTTTTCAACCGCGATTGTGTGCAACCGCACAGGCAGGGCAGTATTGCGGCGGGAAACCACACAATCTACCTGGCACGACTGGGGTATCTTTAGAAAATAATGGCACTGGCAGCGCGATCGGCGGTGGTGTGCGATACATGACCGCCCGGTCATCGTGCACGAAACGGAGCGGATGGCTAGGCGGTCACAGAATCGCACACCACCGCCGATCGCGCTGCCAGTGCCATTATTTTCTAATGGCACTGCATTCGCGCCAATCAGATCGCACGGTTTCCCACCGCAATACCGCCTGGGCGGTCCCACAGGATCGAGGTTGAAAACATGAATAGCTTAAATGATCCCAGAGGCAGATGCATGATTGGATTTGTAGTTTCACTACAGCTGTGTGAAACCAAATACATTTATTTTATTGTTCTAAAACAGCCTTAAATTAAAGTTCTTCATAATCATAAAAAAATTGCCCTAAAATCATTAGTCTGTATTTTTTTTTTTAAATGTCACCTTTCCCTTTAAGAAAAAGTATCGGTAATTGGTATCGGCAAGTACATGAGGGAAAGTACTTGTACTTAGTCTTGAAAAAGTGGTATCGGGACATCCCTAGAGGATAGGAAAACCTTTTGGAATATGCAATGTCACATATCCAAGGAGGCCTTTCTATACTCCATTCATATGTATGTTTAGTATGTAAACAGACTTGGTGCTAGGATTTGCATATGCAGGGTCTAGTTACATAAATATCTATGAATGGAGGATAGGAAAGCCTTCTGGAATATGCAACGTCACGTATCCAAGTAGGCCTTACTATCCTCCATTCATAGGACTCTATGTAAACAGACATGGTGCCAGAATTTGCTTATGTTGAGACAGAGATCTGGTGCCGTGTCTGTTTCCATACAGTTCTATGAATGGAGGCTAGGAAGACCATCTAAAATATGCGACATCACATATCCAAGAAGGCCTTACTATCCTTCATTCATAGAACTGCATGTAAACAGAGGTAGAGCCGCCTCTGTACACAAAATACATATATGTCCATCACAGCGTGGATGAGTGAAGTAAAAGCGCCTTTATTAGAGACAAGTAGGCATGTCACAAAAGAAAAGGTGACGTCTGGAGACGGGTACAGGGTCCCATATTTCTGTGCATGCCCCGGGTTCATTTATCTGACTGGAAAGGATATGTGACATGGGTATTCTAGGAGGCCACAGAATAAAATGTCATGGTCATAGGTGAGAATGGCGGTGGGAGTGGACCACACACAAAATATAGGGAAATATGAAGAAAAAAAAAAAAGACAAAAAAAAATATCTTTTATTAAAAGGGAGGGTTACAATGGTGTAAACTTTATTTTTAGGAGGGAGGTGGCCTGCCCTGGATATATAGGCCACGCCCCAACCCCATACAAGGCTTCATCCTGTCAGTATATAAACACAGTAGACGAAGCTCACCTCTCTCCGGAGCTGTCTATACTGGGCCGCCCTGGCGGGCTGGACCTCCACAGGCCCCCCGCTTGCCGCATTCTCGGCTGAACGCTGGTGATGATGATGGAGACGGATCGGGAAAGGGGTAGCCCGGACTTTGTTCTTCCTCCCCTTCCTCCGGCCGCTGCTGCGGGCTCTGCACACCCCTCCCCCGGGCCTCCGTCCTCCTCCGGGTTCAGACATGACCGGCCGCCTGAAAACTACCTGACCGCGTCCAGGATGTCGGTGCCCCGAATCTACTCTATACGATTGTCAATACAGAAGATGGCGGTCTGACAGTCCCCGCCCCCTCCTCGAGCCTATGTTGTGTTTGGATGGCGGCCGCGCGCTCCCGATTACTGTCGTGCGCGCTCGTGTTCGGATGCTATGCTTTGTTTTCTTGTATCTGAAACGATTAAGAAGAAGGTTTGTTGTGGAAGATGTGTCTCTATTATGTGTGTGTAATATGGCTTATACAGGCGGGTGTTATAAAATATTGAATTCTGCACACAAACATGCTGGCAGAGAATCCTGTATAAAGGCACACATAAGATCTTATGTACACAGCTGTATGAAAATATGACAACTAGTTCACATGATCCCACTAGTTGTAGCTCGCAGCCAAATCCTGTGTAAAAAGGGATCTGTACACGTAATAATTGTACAATGTTTACATCCATACATCATAGTGTAAAGAGCCCCCATTGGTTGCTAGGGCTCTAGGCAGTGTGAGACACCTGCATCCTAGCAACAAAGGCCTCCAGACAGCTTGAGCAGCCTGCATCCTAGCAACACAGTACTCTAGCCAGCAGGAAGAATTTGATCATCACTATGTGTGATATAAAATAGGAAAGGAGTTTGTGATGCTCGGAAGTCAAAATGGAAAAAATGCATCAGGTGGGCGGATCCATGCGAGTATTACGATCATAGAGACAGGAACTCCAGTGGACATAATCTATGTGCCTTAATTTAATTGTAAGTGCATTCTAATAATTTTAAATAAATGTATTTTGACCTACTACACGATGGGAAGCATTTATTCTCCGAGTACAAGAGGAGGTGGAAGATGGAGGAATAGTATTAGACGGTTTTGGAAAGATAAGCCAGAGTTTGGAAGAATATACCCCAATTTATTGTCGGATCAAAAAACAAAAGGAGGATTTGGTTCTAATATATATCAACAAAGCGCTAATTGTTCATCTGAAATATGGTGAGCAATAGGAGTCGGTGAGTGTGGCCAGATCTTCTCTTTGAGCACGGTGGAGATTGGAGAGCACTGATGCAATAATTGTTTATGCATTCACAGACGTGGTGTGGATTATAACAGTATATCTTTACATATTTCAAGGACTTTATTGTATTATGAAGGAATGGACTACAACTATGGATATGTAGATTAAGTGGGAATTGTACATCACTTGTGAGATTTAATACAGGACTTTCTATATGTACAAATTGTATGAGATGTACTAGCACAAGTATATGTTTTTTTGTTATTCACATTCTGTTTTCAATGTTTATTATGGCTAAGGGTTAGTTCACACCATCAGCAGTGCGTTCCGATTCCGGAACACACTGCCCGTAGTGAGGCCGCCTCCCTATTTTGCTGGGCAGGAGGGGGCGTGGCGGGCCATTGAAGTGAATGGCACCGTAGCCACGTCCTGCAATCGCCCGCACGCCAACCGCAAGGCACTTTGTGCCTGCAGTGCGTTCAAAATAATGCGTGCAACATTTTGAACGCACGCACTGCAGGCACAATGTGCCTTGCGGTTGCCATGCGGGCTATCGCATTGCCCCCTCCTGCCCGGCAAAATACGGAGCCGGCCGCAATGCGGGAAGTGCGTTCTGGTATAGGACCGGAATGCACTGCTGATGGTGGGAACTAACCCTTATAGTTTCGACTCTAGACTATTAGACCAACAGTTTTTTTCTGAAGTATCATTAGCACAGGCGTTGTGCAACACAGGTGTTGTGGATAACACAATTGTTTCATCACTTTGTGATCATTTCACAATTTATAACATTTTTCTCACATTTTAGGAATACATTTTGAGTTTGTTGAAGTGCAGTGCTATTTTTCTCTTTTCAAATAGAGCAGATACCCCAGATCAGGAACTACAGCCAGGGGCTAAAAAACAAGTTCCAAAGAGCCAGTCCTTGTTTCAGAGTTACAAAGGCATTTGGTCACTGCTCGCTGTTGCTGGTCTGAGCCTCCTGTCCCTCAGGCAGACACTGAATGGTAGTGTTTGGCTGCTTGAGGGGTTGCATAAGCCCTGGGGGTCTTTTGAAGGCCTTGTGGTGGTGACACAGGATGACATGGGAGAAAAAACCCAATAAGATCTTGGCTAGGTGTGTGGTTGGTGAGGACTGAGGTTCCAGCCTTTGCTTCATGGTTTTGTCTGGCCCCCTGATCTACTTTACTTTTGGAGGTAGAAACTGACAGACCTCTGAGTCCCCTAGCAAACTCCTCATCAGATGCAGTGGAGATATTTGCTGTTGTGCCAGGGGTATATGGAGGGAAGAGGAGAGATGCAGCAACTGAGGAAGGAAGTGAAGGGCAGGACTGTTGCTCCCATGTTTTCTTCGCCAGTTAATTAAAGATCTGTGAACAGTGAGGGAAGGAAAGGGATGTGGGGGGGTTTCACACAACACAATGTGCCCTACCTCTGCAATTCACAAAAAGGTTACCTAATCCACCTAACCCTAACCAATCTCTCGCAGCGCTGTCAGTCACTTCTCCTGGTCCCAATCCTGCTCGGCTCCAAAACACTTGACACCATGGCTGCTCTGAACCCCACCCTTTAGGGCCCAGTCACACCATATCCAGTGCGGCCTGGTACAGTTCACGCCCAGAACGCATTGGATCGCATACATAAAGCCGGACCGCATACATAAAGCAGGACCGCGTTCTGGGGCGGGAGGGGGGTGTGTCGGTGCCATTCATGCCAATGGCACAGCAGACACACACCCCACCCGCAGTGCAATCGGCCGCACCGGAATGCGAGGTACAGGAATGCCCTCCGTTCCAGTGCAATGCGATTTGAAAAAATAGTGTATGCGCCTTTTTAAAATGCTTTTTGTAGTATGTAATCACTATAGCACGGCTGCAAACAAGTCATTGCTTCCAAGCAGTGACAAATGAGGACCATGTGTGCCTTCCCAATGTGTCGGTATCCAGAGAATGAACAGCAGAAAGAGCACCAGACCATTAGTAAATGAGTCCAAGAAAACTTCAATGCTTCATCATATTCTTAAATCAAAGCAGCCAGATTATTTTGTTTGTGATAACTAATTAAAATGTCCTTTAATGATAGCAGAGGGAAATCATCTCAAATAAACAATCTAATATAAACAAATGGTGTTTTAATGAATATACTAATCTATTAAGTATTTCCACTTTATTTTTTCACTTGATATTTTTATATTTCTAATCCATTTTATTTTACTTTTGTGCTTTTTTTTTTTTCCATATGTTCATTTTAATGAGTTTGAATTTGCCCCTATCATGCCATTTATGGGCCCTAAGTACACTCGGTATAATCAGAAAATGTGTCATGCACCAATAGTGGTTATATAAATTGATGATTATGAATTTAGTTTTTATATAGATTGGTGGATACTGTGAATTTTAATATGAATTGATTGATATATGAACCTTATCTTTTTTACATCTTCCCTTTTGTATCTCTTCTATAGCCCTGGTGAGGGGAGGTGTATTGATGTGTGAGATTCTCCAAATCTTTATTCTGGGACTCCAGTTGTGGGCACCTTGTTTTAAAAAGAACCTCACCAGAGTCAGTGAGCTCCAAGGATTGGGTAATTTTTCTACAATATTGAGTATTTGAATATTTGTGTCGTATTTTGTGGCAATGCGTCGTAATGGCCGTATGTAGTCTCCATCAAGGCGAGTCGCACAGGGTGACAACACAGGAGTGCAGTTGGGAGACAGCTGTCACTCTATAACAGTAAGTACCTAAACAAGGACTTTTATAAAAGAAATCACCTATTTTGTTTATGGGAGCTGCAGATTTAAAATGACTTTGAAATAATATTAACATCTTAAAACGTATGAGATTTTAACGATTGGCAGCAGATCTTCAAGTACACCTGTCAAATAAAAAGATTAAAAAAACTTGTGCACCCTTAAATTCCTTGAAGGCTAAGTATTATTTTTAAAACTATTGTAGCGCTCGCCACCAAAGGAGCTGCTGGAATATCCAAGTCATCCATAGTGTCTAGGGATTTTAGCAACCGGCTGCCCCAATAGCATTAACCGCCCCCTTCCTGTGACCCACAGAGCTGAAATCCAGGCCAAAAAGTATGATGCTGAAGAATTTTATTAACATATCTACCCTGCGAGAGAGGGTTTAGGGCTTGGAACATCCATGAGAAAAATAAACTCCAGACTCACCAGTCCCTTTCCGAATTCCAGTGCAGATTCAATAGTAGCACATGCTGACACTGGGCATATGAGCAGGGATTGGCAAAAAATCTTAAGTAGGAGAGACATCAGATTTGCTTCAGAGGTCCAGTCCATTTCAGGCACCTCCAGCAGCCATCATCTCCCTGGTTCTCCTCAGTCAGTAGCCAAGACTGACTGAGGCCTAGCAAAACATTTCCCAAACTCAAGTATTCCCACACCCCAGGCCTAGCCTGGGAGCAGGCTGGCCAACACCCCAACCAGGACAAATCAATGGCTGGAACCAGGCTAAGGACATGGCAATTCCTCTGAGTATGTATGTCCTGTCCCAGCATGCAACACTAGCTATCAGAACCCCGGTGATTGGCTGGTGGTCTGCACACACGCACAGTGTCGCCCATTGGTTTTCCCACACTGCAGCTGAGTCACACTCCACTCAGGCAAGCACAACCAATGCCAGAACACCTGGAGTTAACCAGATCAATGCCAGCTATAATCCAGCCAGACTGACTACAGGTCTGGCAATCGTTTGCAGGGCTATTCACAAAAGGGTGAAGAGTTTGGAAAAGGGAGGAGAAGTGAACAATCTAGGACAACATAGCTGAACTGGAAACATTCTCCAATTCAGCTCACTTTTGAGTTCAGCTATTTTGGCCTAGAGTGTTCCCTTCTCCTGCCTTCTCCAAACTCTTCACCCTTTTGTGAATAACCCTGTAAGTTCCTAGTAGCCACTCCACTAAAGGTTATGTTTCATGGTATATCCATATTCAGGGTTTAACATGAAACATGATCACATCTCCAGCCCCCCACCCCCCAACTTGCCCCCCACTTACCTGAATTGCTGAGTTCTTCTCATCGCAGGCTGCTGTCGCAATTTGAATTTCGGCACGGCTGTACATGGCTCCGCCCGAACCGCTGCTTCATCCATTCACAAATCCTTTGACAGGATTTATGAATGGAGAGACTTTAAGTACAGTCAACCACTGTGATGTCCAGGTACCTTTTGTACTATGTCCAAAAGGTAGCCCCACTGCAAGGGTTAATTTGTAATTTGCCTATAGATGGAAGGATTTCTAAGCTGTGTCTGAGATCCATTGGCCGTGCTGGCTCTGTGATTCAGAAGTATTTTTTTTTTTAAATTCAATACTCTTTTTATTTTAATAATACAATACATAAAACAAACGTGTACATCCATAATTACATATTAAAACAGCAATACAAAACAGATAACAATACATACAACAACAAAAAAAGAAAAACAACCACACCTCTCCTTATAAAATTAACTTTCCTCTCAACATACCATATTTCTTAAGCCACATTACTCTTCAGAGTACCAATAATAAATGGGAGAGATATTATACGAGAGATATTATACCCAAGGTCCTTTACCATATTCAATCCACTTATCCCACATTTTACCATATTTGTCCATAGTACCTCTATGCTTGAACATAATTCCCTCAAATCCAACCACTTTATCTAGTTCTTTCTTCCATTCCGATTCAGAAGTATTTAAGTTAGATGCAGCCAGGCAATTGGCATTTTCAGAAATCGGACAACTACGGTAGCCCACATATTTCTCTTATGACACAGATACTTTGAAGTCCAACTCCAGCCAAAACCTTTCATTAAATAGAAAAGAAAAAAAAAAAGGTTAGAACCTTTCTCAGGATAGGAAGCGATAGGAAATGTCTTCAACTGAACCACAGTGGGGGGAATTTATCAAAACTGGGGTAGACAGAATCTGGAGCAGTTGCCCACGACAACCAATCAGCTTCTCTCTTCAGTTTGTTCAGTTAAGATTTGAAAATGAAAGCAGAGGCGTAACTAGAACCTTCAGGGCCCCGGTGCAAGAAACCATGAAAAACTACAAATCCCAGCAATGCATTATATTAAAAGTGAGCGCTATATCACCAGCACCAACACACACACGCACACTGATGTGTGAAGATTTATGCCTAGTGAGAGCAGGGCAGCAAATATTTGCGAAGCTAGCTTGCTGGCAGATGAACGATCTCCTTTTGACCCCCGTGTGTGTGACCCGTCCCTCGCCTCCTTACCTTCTTCTCCGTATCATGGCTCTCAGCAGCAGGGGAGGTGGGGGGACATCTGAGGGTTGTCGGCAGAATTGCCTGATGCTCCGTTCCTTGCTGCTCAACTTAGCAAAGAAAAAAAACAACAAAACTTAACCCGGCTGCTTGCCCACAGCTGAGCTGAACCGAGAGAAGAAACCACCTGCCTGGCACCTGGAACTGCATGTCCCGGGCGTCAGGCGATACAAAGTAAATGCAAAATTGCCCGGGGAAAGCAAGCTCCGCCCCCCTGCACGCACGTCTGAGGAAGGTTACAATAGCGGGCAGGGGGGGCCGGGACATGCCAAATTGCATTTGTCTTATCATTTAAAGGAGAACTATGGGGTCAGTGTTTTTCCCCATAGTTCTCCCTTAATAAGAAAAAGTTATAGCTTGGAGTTCGGCCGCCTGGGCCCCTTACAACTTCAGTGGCTGTACCCCCCTCATGACGGCCTTGCAGGATAGGAGCGGTACGATCTCGGGGGCCCCCTTCTTCCTCGCTGGGCCCCCCCAAGTGGCAGAATGCCAGGGCCTCTGCGACCCTGGTAGTTCCGCCAGTGAATGAAAGAGAGAAGCTGATTGTTTGCCATGCACAGCTGCTCCAGTTTTTGTCAGCTCCAGTTTTGATAAATTCCGCTTATAATAGTGTTCAAACAAATAGTGTGAGATGTAGAATTCCTGAAAATGGTCGGCTGACAAGCACACCATGGACTTCCTGTACAGGCATCACAAGGACAGGAAGTGATGGGAAATCTTTCCAACACAGATAAAACCGAAACCACATTTTTAGTAGAATGAGAGGCTGAATTTCTGAAAATGTTTTTATTGCTTTTCTGTCCTGGTGACAACCTCACCACTAATATCTTGTACACTTGTCACAGGGACAGGAAGTGGGGAAAATCCTAATAAAAGGGTCAAAGATAGATCTAGAAACATCTGATCTAAAAGTGGAAGTAACTCTAACAATTTACGAGCCATGACCTGCATTCCCACTGGTCGCCAGCAGATGTCGCTGTAGCAATAACGGGATCAACACAAGATGCCGGAAGTTTCCCCTTGCCGGAAGCGGCTTCCCCCGGGGGAAGTGGGTGCCGCGGTGTATGCTGGGGCTCGGGCTCCACTTTGAATGGGGGAGTGAGTGTAGCGGGCGCATGTTGGGAGATCGGGGGTCGTCACGTAGAGTGGTGACGTCACGTCTTGGGATCGTGGCATTGTGAGTGGCTGTGGGGGAGTCACGTGACAGCAGAATCAACAGGAACAACAATAATAAGTCAGCCGCGTTGATTCCTAGTGTGTTTACTACGGACACCATCCTCATCACTAAGCTGACAGTGTAAACACAGCATGGCTCACAACAAGATCCCTCCCAGGTGGCTGAACTGCCCTCGCAGGGGACAGCCAGTGGCAGGTAATTGGGTGCATGTTGGAGTCATGTGTAAATCATGTTTCAGCTGACAACAGACTCGGTTCACAAGGCTTTAGTGTAGCTGTCAAATCTTAGAGGAATCCGCTGAAAATAAATGTGCTTTTTTTTCTTAATAAGTATCATTATCCTGGTGTAGAAGCTTTGTGTATGGAGCCTCTGTGACTTAATCTGTGTCCAGTATTGTGTATAGAGTCCTGATGGCTTGGTGGTGCTGGGCTGATCCCAGGAGATCATGGCAGTACAGTATTGGATGTCAGACATTTCTTGTTATCTATATATACTGTCTGCCTTCATGCAGTGCATCCTCTTAAGGCCTCATGGACTCCTAGAACATAAATTGTGGTCGTATTGCCACACACTGCTGTGACATGCAGCTGCCCATAGTAGTAGGTAGCTGAGTGCGGGTTTATGCCGTTATTTTATAAATCCGCATATACGTACTGGACTGTGTCTACAGTGTACAGCTTTCCCATGCGTGGGTTTACTTGCCTAGGGCCACCTACAGCCATTCACTACTTTATAAACCTGCACATGCGTACTGGACTTTACCTACAGTGTACAGCTTTCCCATGCGCAAGTTTACTTGCCTAGGGCCACCTACAGCCATTCACTACTTTATAAACCCCACACATGCGTACTGGACTGTGTCCAGATTGTACAGCTTTCACATGCGTGGGTTTACTTGCCCAGTGCCACCTACACCCAGTCACTACTTTATAAATCCCGCACATACCTCGTGCACTCTGTCCAGAGTGTACAGCTTTCACATGCGCAGGTTTACTTGCCTAGTGCCACATAAACTCATTAACTACTATAGGCAGCTGTACACCGCAGTTGCGTATCCCGGGCACGGTTATACCAGCAAGTTCTGTTCTGTAGCCTCATGTGCCCGTGTGAAAGATCCCACATTTTTGGTTGTCACTAGAACGAGAAAGGATGGTGAAGTTGTCAAATCTGGAGCAGTTGCCCATGACAACCTGTCAGCGTCTCTTTCATTTTCAAAGCTTAACTAAATAAACTGAAGAGAGGAGCTGATTGGTTACTTTGGGCAACTGCTCGTTTCTCTCTGGTCCAGTTTTGATAAATCACTGGTGACCACCAGTGATTTTCCTCACTCTAGAGGGATTTCTCTCACTTCCCGTTTTCACTATTGGACAGGAATGGAAATCTCCCCAATGGGAAACGGATGTTAAAAAAACAAGTTGTTGGGTTTTTTCCCTCCCTTACCTTTCCCAAAATAGAAAAAAAGTTTTGGCTTTAGTTTTACTGTAAAGGGAACTTGTTATAAGCGAATTAGGAGATCTGTCATTGCTTGACCCCTTTTGAGAAATTATAGTTGCCTGGTTGTCATGTTAATCCTCTGTCCTCCATACTTTTCCAGACCCTGGTCCAGAACAAGCTTGTGGACCAGAAGTTCTCTCATTAACAGCTTGGTCCATTTCATTGACTCAATGTATTAACATCAGAGACAGCCAGGCAGCTGTCATTTCTTCACTATTGGTACATTGCTAGGTGTGTGCAGTGTCTTGTTTCTTGCCCTCGAAGTCCTAGGGTGACAAATGTAGTGAAGGCATTCAAGGCTGTAAAGTAGATGTAAACCCAATAACTACAATTTCATATACACTGAGTGGCCAGATTATTATGACCGCCCCATCAGTACTTCGTTAGTTTTTGACTTTATGGTCACTTTAAGCAGAGAGATCTCTTCAGGGCTCCACACTGTCACCTGCATTTCATAAATGCGCTGTGAAAGTTAGCTGCAATGTGTGTAGCTGAGTGGAGTATAACACCGTGATTAGTGTTATATGCCCCTTGATTTACGCAAATCAATATTTTATATTTATTACATTGTAGCCAGAATCTAGAGAACTGCATGCATGCATTATGGTGGGCATGCATCCTCAGGTGATGTGAACCACTACTGTTGAACCTCTTTTCCCTCACCTTTTAGGCCCTCTAGCAACTTCAGCGCCAAATTATAGCTAATTTGCCTACAAACGTCAGGTGTCATAATAATCTGGCCACTCAGTGTATAATCTCATTTAAAGTGACATTAAACCCTCAGATTTTTTAACATAAACCAATACTGTAATGTGTGCCTTACTGTAATCCATGGTAGTTTCCCTTCTCTTTGCTGCTCTTCCTTTTAAATCCTCATGTCTTCTCATGCTTGGGGAGAACTTCCTTTGCAGCTGAGTGCCTCTTCCTGTAGTGCTGGCTCAGGTTAGAAACCTACACACAGACACCATGTATCCATTTCAGAGACAAGGCAGTCTGCTGCAAAACAGAAGTTCTGCCCAGCATGAGAACAGATACAGATTTAACAGGAGACACGGAGAACAAAAGAAATTGGCAGGTATTCTATATCTGAGGGTTTAATGTCACTTTAATGTGTTTATGTCATTTCAGAATAATTTTTGGTGGTCCTGCTATAAAAGTTTGTGTTCAGGCACTTCTTGATATGGAGTGTCAACACTTTGGTACTGTCTTCCAAATTGTGCCGCTATGATGTCATCCTGTCACATTGGCTTTCGGTGCAGATGGCAAGCGGCAGTTTCAATGCACATGCATGGCTCACTGTTATTACAATCAGGAAAGCCACCCTGAAAAATGCTATGCAGCCATTGCTGGAGTGTTTGCAGTTAGACATGAAGTGTCTGCAAAGAGGGGGACAGCGCCCACTCCTAGTGTAAAAACATTTTTTTTATTAAATGGAGTACAATAAATCACACAAAAAGCTACTCACAATTTGGATGAGCAATTAATAACATGCGGTTGTCAAAGGAGACCAGAAAGCTGACGTGCGTTTGGGGGGAGTTTCCCCCTTCCTCATTTGCTCCGAGGAAGGGGGAAACTCCCCTGAAACGCACATCAGCTTTCTGGTCTGCTTTGACAACCGCATGTTATTAATTGCTCATCCAAATTGTGAGTAGCTTTTTGTGTGATGTATTGTACTCCATTTAATTAAAAAAAAAACGTTTTTGCACTAGGAGTGGCCGCTGTCCCCCTTTTTTCTGTTTACGTGGGAATCCCTCACCTTTAAAGGAAAAACATGCAACTTTCAATTTGCTAATACTTCAGCAGTTGGTGTTCCTAGAACACCAGCTTACCAACAATGAGACCAGTTCCAAATGAGTTGTTAAATACTTGAGCAGAACATTGTGCTGTAATTATGTGGTTGATTTAGATTTTTTTTATTGTTCCAGGAAAATTTATACCTTTAAAAACCATGTTGGGACCCAAGTATGATGAGCAGGTGCCCGAAGAGAATCGATTTCACCCAAGTATGCTGTCCAACTACTTGAAAAGTCTCAAGGTTAGACACTTTTTATATTTATTTAAATATGAATTTGTTGCCATATTGGCATTGAAAAATCCATAGGGCTAAGTCAAGGAGTCTTGAATTGGTGAAATGAATGTGAGGCTCATAGAAGTTGAGAGCACTAGAATCCAACACTAATTTACAATATCCCAGGCTCACAAAGCAAACTTGTGCTGGTAGAGGCCTGGAAGATTCTCCTAGGAGTCTTTCTGGTCATGCTGGATGATTTTATGTTGAGTGTTCCTGCTTATTGCATTCCCTATTTCGAATCTTGGGCCCTTGGACAATCTTCCAGGCCTCTGCAGGCACAGGTTTGCTTTGTGGGCCTGGGATATTCAAAATTAGTGGTGGATCTTGGTGCTGGGCTCTCTACTTTTATGCACCTCCTTGTGGTCCCACAAAGGTTTGGCAGGGAGGGGAGACAATCCCCTTCTATGTTGGGCAGTCCCCCTGTTACTGTACGTGCCTCACATGTGCCCGTGACCCCCTGATTATGATGTATGATTTGTATTATGTGGTCACAATAAATGAAATGTTTTTATGATTATTCAAAGTATATGCCTCTTGGAAACCCCAATGCCCTTACGTTGTGTGGAATATTAATGAAATAGGGGGGATGAGGCATATGCATTGCCTGTCAAGTAGCTAATGTGAGTTAGTTCTATGAGAGAAATGTGGGCTGCCATTGTCTGTCCTTTTTATAGGTGTGGTGTTTTGGATCTAAGGAATCACAAATACATTGGTACCTCGGTTCACGAACTTAATTAGTTCCACGATTCTGGTCCCTCTTCCACGATTCTGGTCCACTCTAAAACAGGATATCAGGGCCAGTGCTTAGGGGACCAGGTGGTTCTTCAGGAAACTACAACTTTTAAACATCAAGGAGCAGCATCCATTCTGACTGATTTATTCTGCATTTGAAATAGCTTAAAAACCTTTTGACTTTAAAGTGATATTAAAGTCAAAAAGCTTTCAAGCTATTTCAAATGCTCACTTACAAGAGCTTTACTGAGACTGCATTTGTGTTTTCTTAGGATTGTGTGTGTGTAAAACATATTGTTGTGTTGTGTGGTTGCATCTGCTTGCTGTGTTTATTGTGGATTTCAGCTTCTGTGTCAGCTGCTGCCCACCTGTTGGCATATGTTGTATACTGTCACCCTCTGGGGACTGAGTGTCTGCAGAACATGGGGATTACATTCAGAAACCTTTTGCACACAGCACTTACTTATTCCAAACTAACGTATCGCTGCCTTTGTTTGAAAAGAGAAAAAAAAACATTGAGCGTGTGTTGTCTTGTCTTTATTTGTAATGTATAGCTTCTTCCAGATCACTCTAGATCCCTCTTCCACGATTCTGGTCCACTCTAAAACAGGATATCAGGGCCAGTGCTTAGGGGACCAGGTGGTTCTTCAGGAAACTACAACTTTTAAACATCAAGGAGCAGCATCCATTCTGACTGATTTATTCTGCATTTGAAATAGCTTAAAAACCTTTTGACTTTAAAGTGATATTAAAGTCAAAAAGCTTTCAAGCTATTTCAAATGCTCACTTACAATGGACGCTACTCATTGATGTTTAAAAGTTTTAGCTTCCTTGCAGAATCAGCTGCTCTCCTGAGCACTGGTCCTGACTTCCTGTTTTAGAGTGACTCCTTTCTCAAGCAGAGTGCTATGGAGTCACCCTTGTGTGTGCTAGTAAGCTGTGTGTGTCTCCACAAACACTCAGACACAGCAAATTAAGCTACTCCCCTCCCCCAAAAATGTAAGGATATACTTTGCTGGGCAATGTATATTTGTTTGCTTTGGATTCATTATTGAAAAACAAGTTTGAGAGTTTAACACTACTTCAATATCACTTTAATGTGTTCTCCAAATATGGGAGGTCTCACCAACAATGTATGTTATGTAGATCTCCACATAAGAACCCGAGAACTACAAGGGGCCCATTTTCACTTTTACATCTTAAAGTGGAACTCCGGCCAAATTGTTATTTCAGGCCTTGTTAAGGGTTGGATGTTTTTACTGCTACCAATGACCCCGTTGGGGGTGATTGCACCTTTTTCTTCTATCTTGGCAGTAAAGCAGGAAATCTGTCTAATTTGAGGGGGAATGTTGGCATACATTAAGCATTTTTTGTAAAGTTTTTAGATGCATTTTGGGGCTTTTCTTTTAAAGTGAGTTGTAACGTGTGCATGTTTTCCAATATGTCTCTTCTTTTGATGTCTAGTATTTGTTATGCTTGTCTATATTAGTTTTAAGCTGGGGCAGCACAATACAAATGAGTGCAAGTCTTCTAAAATTAAGCTACTCCCCTCCCCCAAAAATGTAAGGATATACTTTGCTGGGCAATGTATATTTGTTTGCTTTGGATTCATTATTGAAAAACAAGTTTGAGAGTTTAACACTACTTCAATATCACTTTAATGTGTTCTCCAAATATGGGAACATCCATGCATAAAGAATTGTCATTTCTATTTTCAGGTAAAAATGGCAATGTTAGTGGATTTGACTAACACTACAAGATTCTACGAACGCAATGATATTGAAAAAGAAGGTATTAAATATATAAAACTGCAGTGCAAAGGGTAAGTACACATTAAATGGAAAAAAAAACTGCAGTGGGAACTTGTTTTTTGACAGAGCCTTTTGATCAAAGCTTTTATTGTAATTTACACCAGTAGAATTTTGCTTGGAACATTTGTTAGATTCTGTTAGAATTAATAATTACTATTATTATTATACAGGATTTATATAGCGCCAACAGTTTGCGCAGCGCTTTACAATATATGGAAGACATTACAATCGCAATACAAATCAAGACAAGATGGCAAGGAGGGCCCTGCCCGTGAGGGCTTACAATCTAAAAGGGACGGGGAAGTGATACATGAGGACAGAGCTGTGTGGGGATAAATTGTTTGAGAACGTGATGGTTGAGCGGTTATGTTGAGGTCGGATAGGCTTCCCTGAAGAGATGAGTCTTTAGGGAATGCCTAAAGTCAGTCAAGGTGGACGACAGACGGACAGGTTGGGGTAAAGAATTCCAGAGGATGGGAGAGACTCTAGAGAAGTCCTGGAGGCGAGCATGGGAGGAGTTGACAAGGGAGCTGGAGAGCAGGAGGTCTTGGGATGAGCGGAGCCGACGGTTAGGGTGATACTTTGAGACCAGGTTTGAGATAATGGGGTCAGATAATTTTTTACTGTAGTGACAAACAAAATGGAAGGAGCACGATTACTTTTTTTTGTAATATAATTCTAACCGTGAATGTGGTGTTTCACGAAACACCATTCCTTCCACAATCAAATGTTAACATCAAACAAAATTTCAAACGACATTTGTCAAGTCTTTGATGACCTGAGCAAATGCTCTTGTATCGGATAAACGCTCCTAGGAAAATCTACCAGTCTATGACCAGCTTTACTGAATAGCTTGGAACATCAGTGCTCATTAAAAAGATGTTTTATTTAGAAAATTTTTTATTGTTGGCAGTTGGCATTAAGGTAAATCTGCCATGAATGTGGGTAATTCAAACCACCAAATGAATAAATGCATAAGGTGCATTTTTTGCATTGTATGCTTTATGTGAATTGCCCAGGTTTGTGACATAATACTTTTAACCACTTCAAGACCAGGTGTTTAGACCCCCTTCCTGGCCAGGCCATTTTTCAGTATTCAGCGCTGCGATACTTTGACTGACGTTTATTCCGTCATGCAACGCTGTACTGAAATGAATTTTATACCATTTTTTGGGGACAGATAGAGCTTTCTTTTGGTGGTATTTAATCACCACTACGGGTTTTATTTTTTATTATAATTAGGAAAAATTATTGAAAATTTTGAAAAAAAAACGTTTTTTGTAACATTATGTTAGGAAACATTTATTATTACCCAGTTTTTTGGTCAAATATAAAAGATCAGGTCACGTCGGTTAAATAGACACCAAACATGTCAAGCTTTAAAATTGCGCGCACCCGCGACATCGCAGAAAACGACATAGAGACGCCCGCTCAGATCGAGAGAGCTCCTGGCCGGGCGTTTTTTTACTACGGCCGGCCCGGAGGTAGTTAAATAGCTGAGAACCTGTATGTTTTTTGTGATGATGGGGGAACATTTGTGTATGCGTCATTAAAGCTGAACTCCAGACGCAAAAACTTTAATTTAGATATATTCCCCACTAGCCTCAATGGATATAAATGCACTTTGTATGCACCAAACCCCTTTTCCAAAGCAGATTTTACCATATAAATGTAGCAGTGACATCACCTCAGTGCTGTACATATCCTATGCAGATAGCAGAGCTGTGAGAGGGACTTAGTAGACCCACCCACTACAGGCTGTTTGCAGAAAACTACAGCAGGGGTCGATACAAGACCACTCACCTTGCACAAGGAGAGAGAGCAGCAGTGACTGGTCTTTATTACAGGAAGCTCCTGCACAAAGGTAATTTTTACACTAGATTAATGCACAGATCTGGAAGAAATATACAAAGCACACCAAGATTCAAGTAACAATACACATGCCTCTTGTATTTAGACAATATGTGCTTATCCTGGAGTTCAGCTTTAATCTTTTATTACATTCCCTTCTTATTTGATTGTAACCAGGCCTGTTTAATAAGGGTTCTGCTTACACTCTGGAAGCACAATCTGCCTCATGAAAGTCTGAAAGAATTCCAGCTGAGACAATTTTTTTGTTTTTGGATAATGGGGAGTAGTTATAATTAACATCAGGATGTTATTTATTTGTGTCTGTGTGCACTTACAGGTGAAACTCGAATAATTAGAATATCGTGCAAAAGTAATGGCAGTAATTTCTGCAAAAGGGGCCCAAACCTAGTACTGAGTACATATGCATGCTTGTACTTTTCAGAGGTCCGATATTGTTCTATGTACAATCCTTGTTTTATTGATTGCATGTAATAATCTACTTTTTTGAGGTTGTGGATTTGGGGTTCTTGGGGTTTTCATGAGCTGTAAGCCATAATCATCACAATTATGACAAATCACGGCTTGAAATATCTTGCTTTGCATGTAATTAGTCTATCTCATATATTAGTTTCACCTTTTAAGTTGCATTAGTGAAATAAATGAACTTTGCACGATATTCTAATTATTCGAGTTTCACCTGTAAAGGAGAATTATGGGGAGAGTGAAATACACTCATCCCCATAGTTAGAGCCGGTGTGTGACACTGCGGCTGTCACACGGCTCTATAGCTCGAGAACTAACAATCACATACTGCAGATCGCTAAGCTCATGGTCTTCTCCCTGCAGAGAGTGGTGACTGTCAGTCACTGCTCACCAAAGGGATTCCCCCCTCCCCTCTCTGTTCCTCCAGCACTGACTGCGAGCCCTAGAGAGGCAGAGACAGCTGTCAATCAGGTACCGGGGTGTATCCCGACAATATTGTTGGGATCTTTGCCGGCTGCAGTGCGACTCTGTGCTGTCAGTATATAGGGGGCAATAGCCCACTACAAGCTGAGTTTTGGGTCACAGAAGGACATTAGTAAATGTCTTCTGTGACCCTAAACAGAACTACTGCCAAAAAAGTTTTAGTTTAAGAAATTTCAATAGGTGTCCAATGGGGGGTGATGAGAGTGACCGGTCCTGAGTCTTAAAATAAAGACAAATCTATAAAAAGGTACCACTGCTTACTTGCAGTGCACACAGAACGATGTATGGTTTTAGAAGACAAGCTCAGTGTTAACAACAAAAGAGAGAAAAATACAAAAATTCAATTAAACATTTTTTTTGTCCATTGGTGAGCTAATAATAATAAAAACTGATCAGGTGCACCAAATAAAAGCTGCCATTGATAACCATTCCTTCTGAAAATGCTAGTTGCCTGGTTGTCATGTTATTTGCAGGACGCATGTTATGGATCTGTGAATGACATTCTTTTGAAGCAGACATAGGCAGAATTCGTTTGATATTTCAGTCTGAGCTACTGTAATGAAGTACTGCTAATGATGAGTCACATTATTTAAAATGTTTCGTCCTGTCCATGGTAAATCAATTGCAAAACTATAGCTATAAAATTACTTCCAAAACTATAGCTATAAACTAAAGCTATATATTTATTTGTAAAATAAAATAAACAAGTAAAGGTAACCTATAATTGTTTTCTTTTTTTTCTTTGACTTTTTTTCAGAGAAATGCATCATTGTTTTGGACAGCTGTTTACATTTTTGATTGCTTATTTTACGTTCTATGTATTCCTGTATTTGCGTCCATGTGCATGAGCCCTTAGGCAAAACACACATGGAAAAAAAGTACAGCTAGTTTAGTACAAGTGCAATTGAAAAATATCAGTTAGAATATGTGCTTAAGGGCTAGTTCACACCAAGCGTGGAGCAGGTGCAGAGCAGGTGCAGACCGGATCAAAACTGCGTCCAATGTATTCCTATGGTATTTTTAGCTCCAGTTCACATCGCAGCGTGCAGATCCAGAGCAGGTAAAAAAAACTGCAGCAGGCCCTATTTTACCTGCTCTGGATCTGCAAACACATCAAAAACGCATCAAACGCATGCAAATGCCTGGAACGCACTGAAAGCCCATGTTAAACTAAAAAAATATATATATTTTTTTAGCCACAAACGCGTCAAAAACGCATCTAAAAGACTAGCCTGCGTGTGCAGAAACCTGACCGGATCTGCTCTGCATTTGGTGTGAACAAGGCCTAAGAGTAAAGACAAAAACCTCAATCGTTATTGTTGGGAACAGCTTATTTATTTTCACTTGTGTTTTTTTGTTTTTATTTTGTTCTTGAATACTGTTATGCAGAAATATGCTGTTTAGGGCAACTATTGCCTTTATGTTGAACTTCTACTTTTTTTTGCTACTGCAGACATGGTGAGTGCCCATCTCCAGAAAACACAGAAACATTCATTCGTCTCTGTGAACGAATTATGGAGAGAAATCCAGAGGAACTTGTTGGTATGTTTTTTTGTTTTTATTTTATTTTTAGCTTTGGTATCATTGTCAACTGATCGGGTCAAGTTTTTTTTTTTTTTTTTTAGATGCTACAGATTAGACTTCATTGTTTAATCTTTTTCTTGGGGATTTTGTTAGCAAGATTTCTATGCTTAAGTTGCTGGCTATGCAGAAGGTCCCACTTTCCATGTTTGATTTTTAATGGAATAAACCCCAGGAGAAATCGGAACACCCAAATTTGAGGAAAAACATCCAAAACTTCAAAGCGGGTTGGGACCAAGCAATTAGCTATAATAGGCAGTGTTCACCACTGTAGTCCTCTAATTCAGACTGAAATTGAATGGAAAAAAAATCGAACCTTTTTTGGTTTTTAATAGACTACTGAAAGGTTATAACTTCAAAATTCAAACTTTAGGGCCTGGTTCACACTGAGCATTTTGTAGCGCTTTTTCTGCCCTAAAAGAATGCCCCCCAAAAATCCTGTTCATTTCTTTGGACCTATTCACATCTGAGCATTTTGTCGCAATATGCAAAAAGCCTGTCCCTTGAAAACGTTTTTTTGGCATATTACAGCTTGTTTTGGCCCCATAGACTCAATAGGAAACGCTTGAAAATGCGCGTTTGCTGTGTTTTTCCCAGTGTTTAACGTGTTCTGCTCATTAACATCAATGAGCGAGAATCTGCGCACAAAACCGTGCAACTTGGTTTTTGCGCAGAAATGTGCATCATAAACGCACGTAGGAACGTGCAAAAACTCTGCCGCCTAGGGTTGAACACAGCCTAAGTTGTCACCAGAACCAAAACAGAGTAGAAATCCTCCACTATGAACATTGGTTCCATTAAATAACGGAGAGGGAATTTACTTTGGAAAGTTTTCCTTTCGCTTTCTGTTGTGTCTACAGGACAGAAAGTGAAAGGAAATATCTGCACTAGGACAAAAACCCATTCCCTACTTTGTTCAAAATGGGGACAAAGTTTTGGCTATAGGTGTAGTTTAAGAAGCAAGTGAGTGACTTACAGGCTTTACCGATAACTGAAATATCATTTTTGAGCGAACTGATGCTTTTAATACACGTTTATTGTTTTGTGTAAGTTTTTGCGATTTAATGATTACACATATCACTTGCACTTGTACATCAATATTGCATTAGTACTACAAAAAGTACAAATAATTCTGAAATGAGGGTTCAACATTTTCCAAGTCCCTAGCAACAGTGTATCAGCAAAAGGCTAATTTAGGTTGTTTGAACAGGTTGCTAACTGTAGGGAAGATTGCTTGGAGTACAAGGCAAAGGAGCAAGATAAAATAATTGCAAGATGGCTGTTGGCCAAAAACTGTTGGGTAAGCGAAACAAAGGTTAACATAAACTAGTATAAGCCTCTGAAGTAACGGAAGAAAGTGGAGAAGGCTAGGGGACTAATTGAGGGAGCATATGGTGTCTGGGAGTGTAGGAATGACCAATGGAGGGGAGCGGACCGGTGGCTTCCTCCTTTGAGTAGTCAAAGGTTGGAGAAAAGGCTGGATTCAGATCATCATAGAGTTCTTAAGGAAATCTTGTTGCTTAGTTAAGCATGGTGTGGGACATAATAGTAAAAATTTGGAGGAAGAGGGTTGAGGGTCATCTGGGAATGCATAATCTTGTGTTTGGCAGCTGAACAATGTGTTGAAACAATTTGAATTGCTTAGGGATTTACCACAAAAGAGTTTTTGCTCAGTAAAGTTACAAAAGTGTCTTTCCAGAGTGTGGAGCCTATCACTACATATATTTTACAGTAAGTTGGGTGCCGTGGCGGGCACCCATAAAATATTTTTAATGGAAATCGTATAGGCAAGATTGACTTCTAGAGAAACGCAGTAATATCTTGGGTTGACTGCGATAGAGTCAATTGGCATAGTTGGGCTGCGTAATAATACTTTGAAATTTGAGGTAAACTAAGGACACCAGAAGGGTTTATTGTGATACAAAACAGATTGAGACACGCTTGGTATTATTTTCTGCTACTTAAACATCGGATTCTTTAGAGTGAGGATACGAAACCAAGGGATGGCCACTAGCAGAAATCATGTATAATATAGGAATTTGGGCAGTAGTGTCATGTGCACTGCTGATATCCTTCCCAACCAGGAGATGTTGTAATTGTTCCATGTATGGTATTTAAGAGATCCTGTAGATCAGTGGTCCCCAACCCCCGGTCCGCGGACCGGTACCGGTCCGCGGATCAAATGGTACCATCTAACTAGGGGAGGATAGTTGGTCTGTGAGAGAGTATTATACAGTAGGTGCTAGTTATGTAAACATCCAAGTACAGCAATTTTTTTGTTTAGCAGCCCAAGGAAAGGGGAAGGAACTTGGCATAGCTGCCATGGTGGGTGGCGAGAGGGAAATGCTGAGCGCCTTGGACTTTAGTGTGTTTGCTTGCAGACAGAAGATGGCCTTGAAAAAAGTTGAATAAGATTAGGAAGTGAGATGACTGAATTTGATATGGAAAGCAAGACATTGCCTGCAAATAAGTGTGTGGTGGTAGTCCACTTCTATGCCACTGATGTTGCAGTAGGATCTGATTATATAGGATAAGGATTCTGCAGCTAGAACAAATAAAAGTGGAGATGAGGGACAGCCTTGCCTGATTTGGCAACATACAGGGAAAGGATCAGACTGATGTCCTGCATAATGCACATGTGCATAATGTGCACATAACATAAAGTGTTGGCCAAATCCCCAGGGAGGGAGTCGGAATGTAATACAAGCTAATATAAGCTAGAACAAAATCTGGTTTATTCCCTTTGGTATAAAATTTGTGCTGCATCCAGTAAATCTTGTTTTCTGCCGTTTTGAGTGAGACACAAATTTATTTCTGTAGGAATGTGGAAGAATTCTGACCATTTGAGTGGAGTTAGGTGAAATTGAGCAGTAGCAGCAGTAAATTCAGGTTCCAGTTCTTTTGCGTCTAACTTATAAGCCACAATAACCATGGTCTTTTGGAGAGCTTAGGGGACTGAACCATGGTGAACAGTTTAACACAATATCATTCTAAGCCATCAATTCTAGCAGTAGAAAAGCAAAAGTAATGGAGTAGGTGGTACCAAAGAGGATACCACAGTGGTAATGCAGTCGCACTTTGATATCTCTCTGTGAGTCATCCAGGGTACAGGCTGTTAGGACTTAATGTATCCTATCAAACTGTAGATGTTCAATAGGGAGCTCCAGAGTAGCTCTTGGAACATGGAGGTGATTGTTGAATGCAAGTCCAGGATGGTCTATGGCAGCCCTCCAAGGTGAAGAGTGGAGCAGTGATTATTATTCTTATGATCTTCCAGCTGTGATCTCAGGGCATTGTGAGCTCTTTTGATGCTTTCCACTTCCTCCTAATGTCCCACCAGTACTGTGGTATTGTGACAGTGAGCTTCCAGGGCTGATGTGTTTTTTTTTTCTCGATGTCACAGCAGGGATATCCCGAATTGGAGTGTCACCCGGTCTGGGTACCGATGACGTCACACGCTGTTACCTGCCGGCGACCATCTTGGTGATGGATGCCGGCAGAAAGAGGAGGGAGCGTTCACCTGGCAGGATAAGGTATGCTGCCGGGTTCCCTCCTCTCTCGTGCGACTGCTGGGCTCTCAGTCCATGACCAACTGACCGACTTTTCAGAGGGGGGTGACACCAAAACAACTGTCAGTTGTTTTGGTTTTACCCCTCCGATGCTGTCATCCTGGTGCGGGCCGCACCCACCTAGCATCGCCACTGTGTCACGGATCTCCTATGATAACTGGTTAGAGTGTTTTGAAGCTTACTCTCATGAGGATCTCTTGTGAGGATCAAGGAGTGGAGAGGCAGAGATCACATGCACCATCATGTTCGCGCTATCCATTGCTTCCCAGATGGTTTTTGGACTGGGTTTGCTACACTTCTTTGCACTCTATAACACAATCATGAGTATCAAATGGTTCATTAGGGTGTCTGGAATAGGTTAGTCGCAATTGTGGATTACACCCAGGACAATTGTATTCAGATGCCTTCACCAAACAACCCCACGCCCAAACTTGCACTTTTAGCTAGCATACTTCACATACTCTTGTATGGTGGATTCAATCATTTTAATCACGTGAATAATAATCACATTTAATGTTGATGTTTATTGAAAACTTCTGTTGCTTTTATTACACAAAGCAGATATTTCATTTTTTTTTACTTTTTATAATGAACTTCTTAATGCTACCAAGGAGATTGATATAAACAATTTAATATATTTAAGTTACTGGAGAGTTGACTACACACAGCTTGTTTTGTGCAAGCTTTAGCAATGCACAAATGTACTGTTTCTAAAGTACAAATTTTCTGTGTTTATTGCCAACAACTAGATATTTCATAAGACTTTAATTTGTCACAACAGCTGTTGCCTTTCTTTGTAAGTTTTTTTTAACTGCCGTAAGCCACAAATTGTAATTATTGTATACGACTCCCAGTTTGTTCAATCGTTGATATGCTGCAGCATTTCGTAAATTATAGTTACAATATGTGAATGTCTAAATCAGGATGCAATCTGTACTGCACCATTGCGATTTCCCAAGAATTTCTATGAAATAGTTGATGTTGCAGTTTAGAGGTAACGCTTTAAAATGGCCATTTAAGCATTGCTTTTAATTTGCCATTTACCAGGGTTGTTTTCCACTTATCTATTAAATAGGAACTTTACCCATATCTTAAAAATAACAACAAACACACATTTAGAAATATTTAGTGATGACAATCTACAAACACATACTTTTAGATAATTGCAGGCTTAGTATTCTTTGCATACCTTAGTTCTCTTTTGTTCCCAGTCTTCTGGCAGTAGACATGTTAACTAAAGGGCAGATTACTAGCTCTCCCTTTACTTCCTGAAAAACTGGCACATGTGACCATGCACATCACAGGGGTGTGGAATTTGTATTGCCCGATGCCCGGGACATGTAGTTCCGGGCGTCGGGCAAGTGTTTTTTTCACTGTTTTAGCCCTGCTACG